AAATTAAATGAAGAGCATCCACATATTTTTGTTTTATTTTTCTGATGAAAAATGAAATTAATATGAATTAAAAATGATAAAAGCAATTAAAATAAATCCAAAATGAAATTAAAAGAAATTAAATGCTGAGAAGTTATCAGGACAGTTGGATCAAAAGACCAGGTATGCTTATCCAAGGACTGCGCGCGTGACAACTCAACTGCCAAGTAGGATTAATGAAACGACTTCGTTTCAGCTTGGTCAAAGTCCAAATCTCAGGTTAAATCCCAGGCGTTGGATGAGAAGAAAAGGTCAGCTGCTTCAACACGATCCAATGGCTCTCCCTCATCGTTCTCATTTGAACTAGTTAAGGAGGGAAATACTCAGGGCGGTGGTCCGGCGGCTGCGCCACCCTCTTCTCCGGTGAGGCATCAATTACAGGTGGTCAAATCTTAACAAAACCTATACCATTCTCTTCAGTTTTTCATGCTGAGTTCAAATCCATTCTCCAATTCCATTGATTCCTCATGGATATTAAAACACGATCAAGAACAGAAAATGCATCAAATTATGGATCATCACCAAACTCATAACTAAGGCCACAGATCTCTTCCTCATTCTTCATAGATCATCATGTACTATCTAACTCATGTTAACACCTCAAAATCAGGTTGATTCAAATCCAAACAGAAAATTGATCATGACTTAGATCGTCTATAAACTCCATAATTATCATCTGAAATCCATCTAGGTTCCTTCCTAATTCCTAACCACAGTTCAATTCATACTAGATCATCCTAAAACTAGAGCAATTGTGAAAGTTACCAACCTGGTTTGTAGCTTGAAATTGAGGCAGTTACAAGGTGATTCTTAGCTCCAACTGTGCAGATTCGTTCAAGGATCAATGCTGAAGCTAATGGAAACCTTGATTTGCCTTGAATTGCTCTGGAATAGAAAACACGATTTGCACTTGAAGCTTGAAAACTCTAACTGCAATCTCTGGTTCTAGCTCCAAATAACCACCAAAAACTTGATCTGAATCTCATTGTGAACTTAAATAGAAGCTGATTGAATGATTTGGAGGCCCAATTCAGGATATCCAACTTTCAAATTTTCCTCCAAAATGCAACTATGGCCTGCACGAATTCTAGCTGTTTCAGCCTTCTAGAAGCTTCACCTGACTTGCTTGTGGCTTGGTGAGAGTGTATGGACAAGATTGAGTGCTTAATTCCATCCAAGGGTGGAGTTTTGATTTATAACTTCACCATGAAGTAACGGTGTGAAACACCATGAAACATGCTCCAACTTGATTTTCTAATATTGCCATTCTCTTCAAAATATCATTTCCAGTCAGAAAATGCATAAACTTGTGAAGTTTTGAACACTTGTGATTTTTTTTTGAATTTTCTCCTTTTAATCCTTTTAAAAATGCCTTTGTCCAATTTTTCAAACCAAGTCTTGTTCTAAGCCAAATCAATGCTTCATAGATACATGGTTGACCTTAAAATCCCATTTTGAGCAAGTTTTGTGTTGGAAAAAACTTCATTTGAAGTGTGCAAGATAGTAAAAATGATCCATAGTCCAAAATGACCTATAATCTTACTTTCCCAAAATACCCCTGACTTGTAAACCTCATAACTTGAGTTCTACAAATCAGATGAAATACTTCTGGTACAATTTGGAACACTAAGACCAAGACCTACAACTTTCATGTTGGCCAAAAGTTGAGGAGAAACATTCTTCTAGGTCAAAAGTTCCTTGGAAGTTGGTGGACTTTCATAGATAAAATTCATATTCATCTGATGACCTGTAACTTGTATGAGCCATAACTTGAGTTCTATAAACCCAATCAAGGACTTCTAGTACTCAAATTAAAGCTAAGAACATACTCTACAAGTCTCATGTTGGTCAAATGTTGAGATGAAACTTGTATCTTGAGATAAGTGGTCTTGAAGTCATGCACTAAATAGGGGATTTTACCCTGAGAACCCTAATTTAGCAACTCCTCACACTTTGAGTTCTTCTTGAATTGATCTGGTAATAACACCTCATGCATCTCAACACAACCTTCCATTATCACAAAGACTTAGAATTGAGTCTCAACCTCCTTCAATTGCACAGTTGACTCAAGGTTGACCAGATGAAAACCCTAATTGCAACACCTTCAACTGTGACTTTCCACACTTGGCATAAACACTTGAATGAACTCTACCATGACCCTCAAGGCCTACAATGAGCTCTATCCACATACCCTATCCATGATCAAGGCTTCACAACCCACTGATAGTCTTCAATTGGCCCCCAAGTTAGGAGATGAACCACATACCAGCATCCAAACTTCTCAACAACACAACCCACTTTCTGATGACTTTGGTGATCTCTCAAGCTTGAATAAGACCTCTAGATAGGCTCCTCCTGATACAAACCACACTTGATCCTCTTCTAAATGAATAATGCTATGCTATGCAAATGCTAGACCAATTATATGATGATGCAATGAAACATAAACCAAGTAAGAAAAGGTTAGGCAAATTTTGGGGTGCAACATACATCTTCTACTATCAACATCTCTTCATAATTGATATGTGGTTGGGCCCTAGTGAGGAGACTATTCATGCTTCCAGCACCTTTCAATCCTAACTTTTCACAAAACATGCAGTCTGCCCTCAATCCTTTTTCAAAGATCCAACACTTCAGCCAGTCATTTAATGTACTTACCCATACTTCAACCTTTGTGAATCGGTCAATATACTCCCATAGAGTTTCCTTATATTTATGATGGATCATGTTGAGGACGGCTATCCTCTTTTCTTATCACTTTTGTACTATGAGTTGAGTTATAAATTCACACAAAATTTCTTCCAAAAGTTGATGGAACCATTTAGTAGAGTTTAGAATTATGTCATGGTAAATACTTTGAGAGTTATCACTAAAAACATGTGTTTCGCTGCACTCCTAGCACTGTGAAGTAAACCATGGTATATATGTGTTCAATGTGCTCGTCTGGGTCCCCAATTTAGTCGTTATTGTCCAGTTTCGATGACTTTTCTAAACATTTGGAAATTCTTTTGTCGATTATGTGTTTTGAGAATGGATTCGTCTTATGGTAAATGGGTTGATTCTTGGCACACTACATGTCTCTTTTCTAGGAATGGTGTGATAGAGATCTCCTAGAGCGGAAAATCTTCAAGGAAGGGGTGTATGATTACCATTTCCTCCCTTAAAACTGTGAGGAGGAGATTGGTTAGCTCGAGGATGGCAGTGTTCATGTGGAGGCTCTCATATGTTATGAGGTGCTGTCACTGAGATCCATAATAGGTGTAACTCCAAGGTCACCGTGCTAGAATACCTTCTGCTGTATGTGGACCCACGATGGGGTTATTTTTTGGTTTTCTTCAACTAGTCGAAATCTCTCATTCAAAAGGTATACATTTTACTATTGTACCAGATTGTAAATGTTATTGATGAGTTGGTTCGCTTTTTGCAATCCAAGTAAGGTCTAATGTTGTTGATGGCCCAAGAACATTCTTGGTTTAGGAGCATATGCTTGCAATTGAGGTTGCTTAGAATTTTGGCTATGAAGTAACTACTAAAAAGGTTTGAACGATACCAAGATCTAAAAATTTCCTTGGTCGGTCGACGGGGGAGCTATAGGTAAATGAGATGAAACATTTAAAGAAGTTTTTAGAACCACATTGCCTCTCCCTACAAAGGAAATGTAACTTCTTGTGTTGGAGCGAGGAACAAAGCGACGACATCAACTGCGTGATGAGTGTTACAGTGAAAGGTTATTTGAGCTGATTTGGAAACCATCATTGTCGGGTTGAGAAAATTAATGGTGATTTAACTTTATTCTATGTTTCCAAAAATTCTATTTCCTTTTTTTAGGATCTTAATGAAAAAGGAACTTCATTAATTGGTTCAAAATATTTTTTCTGGATAATATCTGTTGAGACTTTTTCTTTCAACTTGAAAGAAAAATAAAAGAAAAAAGTAATTAGTTGATTTACTTCTTCTGGGTGGCCCAATAATATATAATAATTATAGTGTGTAAGAATTAGGAATTCTAGAATCTATTTTCTAGCGGTCAAATATTCTGTAGAACCAAACCTTTTTGATACTAATGATACTAACAGAATCTTACTAGAAGTCTTTTTTTTGACATTAAATGAAATTCATAGTTAAAAAAATAGTAATATAAAACAATTGTGATAGTGCAACAAGAAGGAATTAATGAATTATGCGTGGAATTTTGTGAAGACATGTTGATATGAAGTTCTTTGAAACAACGATGCAAGTCTTTGATACGGTGGATCGAAGGTGTGTCTGCATAGTTAACAATCTAATGCTAAGTGAGGTTAATCATACATACTTTAACAATAATTGATGGAACATGTTACAATGTATAGATTAGTTCATATATAGTGGACGGTTAAAACCACTCAATGTTAGTGCGACACTGAATATAAAAGATTATAGAATTGAATTTAATAGTTGATGATGAGCAAGTGATTCATATCTAGTGTATAGCCTTCTCGCAATAATCATGTACCCATTGTTCTTTTATAAGGGTGTTTTGAATTGAACATTTGTTGTTGGATCGGTCTTGTTGGGCCATTTGACAAATATATATATATATATATATATATATATATATATATATATATATATATATATATATATATATATATATATATATATATATATATATATATATATATATATATAAAAGTTTTAAGTAAGTTAGTTGACTGAAAAATGCTGTCGATAGAAAAATAATAAATAATACTCCGTCCGTAGGTTATTAATATAATAATAGAAAAAAGGCATAATTGGTAAAAGTGTGTGGAGACCGTGTTGCGCAGTTAGGAATTTATAACAAAGCATCCTCCATTAATATATAAAACGCAACCGTTTCATTTCATCGAATATTCAAACACGCGCTCTTTCATAATCATCATAGAAACTCGAATCAAAGGGAAAAAAACACCGAGTTTCCTTTTCTCTCTCTTAACAACACCATGGCAGATCAACTCACAGACGACCAGATCTCTGAGTTTAAGGAAGCTTTCAGCCTATTCGATAAGGATGGCGATGGTTAGAATCGAATCGAATCTATCACTTTTTCGTTTTTTATATTTATTTTGATTTTGATGCGATCTTTTTTTGTAGATCGGTTTTTTTCTTGTGATTTGCTTTTGATTGAATTGTTCTGTGATTTGGATTAGGAATTTTGATTGTTTTTGGTTATGATTTGATTATTATTTATTTTGTTTTGAATTTCTTTTAGGTTTTATCATTATTACGGTTGTTATGTTAATTTGTAGTCGATTTGAGTTTTGTTGATTTAGATGAATGCATGATTCCAAAAAAATGGAATCGGAAATTTTAATTAAGTGTTTTAAGGAAAAAAAAGTATGAAGCTTATGAAAATTGCAATTTATTAGAAATAAGTTGTAGCATATACGTTCCAGCTATGATAATTCTGGTGCTACATCTTGATTTTATTTTATTAGTCGCCACATGCAAAACATCCATAATAATTTGAAAAAATAAAAGTATTGAAGGTAACCATTTGTGTTTGTGTTTTTGATAATATTGGATACTATGTCCCATGGACGCATCTGGAAAAAAGTGTGTCGCTGACATTGATATTTGTGATTATGTTTAGTTTTTCTTTTTTTTTTCAAATTATTACCGGTGTCAGTTTATCTGTCATATTTTAGTTGTATGTCTTCATAAATCGGACACTATACACAAAGGTTTGTGATTGAGTTTTAATAAATGAAAAAAATTGACTATTGTTTGTGGCTTGTATAGTTGTCTGTATAGTTGTCTGAGAGGATGAGTGCTGGAGAGGAATTGAATCTTACTAATACTAGCCATAATTGTCATGAATTAGAAAAGTTTTATTACATATTTGCTATATGCGACTAGTTTGTGTGGTGTTAGCTTCGAAATTGTCATGAATGAGAATTTGTTGTTGATGATGATTATATATGGTGTGAACTTGCAGGTTGCATCACAACCAAGGAGCTTGGAACTGTTATGCGTTCATTGGGACAAAACCCAACTGAGGCAGAGCTTCAGGACATGATCAATGAAGTAGATGCTGATGGAAACGGTACAATTGACTTCCCTGAGTTTCTCAACCTCATGGCAAGGAAGATGAAAGACACCGACTCTGAGGAGGAGCTGAAAGAGGCATTTAGGGTTTTCGACAAGGATCAGAATGGATTCATCTCTGCTGCCGAGCTTCGCCATGTGATGACCAACCTTGGTGAGAAGCTCACTGATGAAGAAGTCGATGAGATGATTCGAGAGGCTGATGTTGACGGTGATGGCCAAATAAACTACGAGGAATTCGTTAAGGTGATGATGGCCAAGTGATCTCTCTCACTTCATTTCTATCTCTTGTATAACAGTGCTTTTATTTATGGTTAAATGTTAATTAGTGGTAAGTGTGGCTACTCATGATTGTGGTCGAATGGTGTCTTATTAGTTTTTCTTGTAATTTTGCTCTTTAAAAAAGTTGTAATGTTGAATGTGACTTCAGTTTCTAGTTTCTCATTTTTTGGTGAATGGGGATGAAACGTTTCTTTCTTGACATTTCCGTTAAGGTTAAATATGCGATTTTATAAGTTTGACTATTAGATGTATCCTCTTAGAATTTGTTTTTAAGCTTTCTTTTTCTCGATTTGGTTTTTATGTTATATTTTGTTTCCACAGTAAGTCTTTAAGTTACCACAATAAAAAGTTTTTTTTATATGAGTGGGTTAACAAATTTGTTATTTTTAAATAGGATAAACATGTTTGTGTTTTTCTTAAATATTTTAAATTTTATTTTTAGTTTTTCTAAATAATCTTTTTAAAAAATGACCTTTCTAAAATTTTTCATTCACACATTTGATCTATTTTACACTTTATCAATGATTTTTACGACTTAACAATTGAATTAAAGACGATTTAGTGATGGTTTATTATTTAGCAACTAAATTAGCAATAGATTTTTGTGAATGATTAAAAATGAAATTTAAAATACTTAAGAGGATCACAAATATATTTATCTTTTAAATTATTAAAATATTTATTATTTTAAATAATTTGATTGAAATGTTAAATAATGTTTTGAAATAATTTTCATTATAAAATATGTACTAATATTTAAAATAGATTATAAATTTTAGTATAAACAACTTATCTGAAGATTTTATTTACTTTTGAGTATTGTCTACTAAAAAAAATGACTTCAAAAATATATTGAAAAAAAAGTTGTTTCTTAAGAGAGAATATTTTAGAAAAGAGAAATCTATCAATACATTTAGAATCATTTTAAGAAGAGATTGAAAAAAGGACTTGTTTAAGGAAAGGATTTCACTTTTATGTGATAATGGTATTGAAGATTTTTTTTCTTCATGTTTTTTAAATTGTTCCAATAGTCAACAAATTTGGCGTCAAATCTTTATTTATTTTATTATTTGTGAAGTAGGCAACAATAGAGCCAATGCTTCTACAATTTTTTTCAACACCATTCAAAATATATTTATTGAAAATGACTTTTTTCTTTTTTTCAATTTTTTTCACTGTTATTGTATTTGGATGCAAAGAAATAATAAAATTTAGAAAATAATGTTATGGAGCAACAAGGGACGGTTTTTAATAGAATAGTCGAGTTATTCAAGTCCTGAAAACTTGCTAATGATGTTAAACAACACCTTCTCCTTATCAAACTAGTTTTTGTAACAAGTGAAATAAGAAGGAGATTGAAATGTGATCTGACCTGATCAGAAGGGGATCACGGACTGACCACACGCTGTTGGACTGCTACCTGTTCCACGGTGATGAGGAGGAGAAAGAGGGTGTACCTGCAAAACACTCCGATGCCAAAGTAAGGAGTTGGGCAGAGTGCGGGCAGAGTACAGAAAAGGGTAAGAAGTGAATTACCTGACCCTCTTGAGGAAGAGGGTATTTATAGAGAGACCCCAGCGCTGGGCCAACGGCCACTTGCGTTGGGCTGGATTGCCAGGCCCAACCCAGGTGACTGCTAGGGCTTACGTGGCGTAGTGAAGACCAGGACGTGGTCTTCGCCCTAGTCCAACTGCTCCTTGATCTCCGGAAAGTGGGTTTGACCTGCTCTTTCGGAGGTGGACAGTTGTTTGATGACGTGTCCCCGGGGAGGGGAGCACGTGGAGAACGTGCACCGGGAACGTTGTTCTCCCCGCGGAGGGGAGCTCGGGAGGTTCCCCGGAGGCACGCTGTTCTCCGCGAGGAGAACGCGAGGATGCGGAGGAACCAAAGGTCTTGCTCGACGGACCGGGGTGTGCCCTGTTCGGCCGACAAGAGAGGATGTTGAGACGCTATCAGACGCGTCGTCCATCCCGGCGGGGAGCGTGCCCTGCCCGTTCTGTGGGGCGCGTGTGCCCGGTCGGGTTAGTCCACTTAATGGGCCATGTGCGATATTGGGCTGGACCGCGAGGCTGAGCCTAGACCAGAACAAAATGTAACGTGGATGCTTCCTTTTTCGTATTTGAACAACAAAGTGAGAACTCTCAATTTGGTGATATCATTAGTCAGTGTAGAGATTTTCTTTTTACATATTTTAACATCTCCATTGTGAAGTATTAAGAGACAATTAAGTGAAGTTGCTCATAAACTAGTTAAAGCGATCACATCATTAATTACTTTAATTTTTAGTAGAAATATCATATTGTATAGAATTAATGTAATATAATTTTCTCTTTAAAAAACACAACGATGAAAAATTAAAGAGATTATTTTTCTTTATAATACATCATTTCCTCGGAAAAAAAATTAAATATCCAATAAAATATAATTAATAAATAAAACTAATATATGAAAAGTAATAACATTAATATTAAAAAATTAAAATTATTTTTGTTTTGGGTCGGTTAGAAAGACCCTGAACGAGCTAATCCTACTATTTTGTCTCATCCTGTGTTGGAATCATGGTCTCGTTCTATCATGAATCTTCCCAATGAGTAAAGATAATTATTTATACGATCCCAAGAGATGTCGACCGAAAAGAAACATCCAACGATCATCTGCAAAGGACGGCGACCAAATAGTTAGTTCATTATTTTCTTTCCTCTAAATATAAAGCATGCACTAAATAGAGGTAACAGACTTTAAATATAATTTCATTTCACTCCTTTTCTCAACATACTGGCTTGAGCGTTGGAGTGCTAACCTTACATGTATCCCCTCAATCCATCACATCGGAAGTTGCAATCAATCATCGTCTCTGATTCATGGTTCTAGAACGGAACAGTGGTGCCGTAAGTGGAAGTCGACTATTGATTCCTACAATTTTTGCAAATTCACATTCGTTATTCGACTTTTGCAGCTTGTTACTCTTTCCGGTCACCGGAGCAAGGAATCATAATTAAATGTGAAGATTTATCGTATTCCGATTCGACTTAGTGCTACTTTAGTCTCATTTCTTCAAGATGTTCGGATCTCCAATTTTCATCTTCAATAATATTTATGGATTCAAGGATACTAGATCTACCACTGCACGAAAAGTTTTCGTTGCTACCTTAACAACAAGTAATCAACCGTCTCTTCCTTTGCAACAAAATGCCACATATCCTAAAGTGGTAGTTTATTCGCATTCAGATCCAATTCGAGCTTCGCAAGTGCCTAGATCAGTTCCAGCCAATCCAGTGGAAACTCCCGTTCTGCTTCCAGCTATGCAACACGAAATCTTACATGGCTTTCACAAGGTACAAGCAAATCTTGGCGTACAAGGCACAATGAGTTATTGAACAATGTGATTAACATTGTTCGACAACAAAACTTAAATGATGTTGAAGAAAAGCTTCAACGCCTCGAAGAGAGCCTCCATTATGCTTCTTCACGCGAGAATACAATTCAATAACTCTTTTCGAGAAAGACTTGTGTTGCAATCCCGGAACCAGTTAGGACAAAGGGAAATAAGGTTTCCTGGTCTAAGGATCACTACAGAAGTAAAAAACATCAGACTACTCCTTCGAGCCCCGAAGGAGACCGGGGAAGTTATGCTCTAACTCTAGTTCCTGCATAAATTCGCCTGAATAAGGTTCAATCAAAGCACCTCTTGTCGGTATAAATCTTGGAAAGCAGGATCTCAAAGTCTATGAATATGTCATCCAAGCTAACCGATTATTATGGAAAGGGAGATCTCGATGAACATGTGCAACTAGTAGATGTACAATTGAGTTACTTTAGTGCTGACGACGCTTCTAAGTGCAATTTGTTTGCACTTTGGCTGAACTAGCTCGATTATAGTTCAACGACCTACCTGATGGATGCATTGATTCCTGGGCGGAATTTTGTAAGAGGTTTTTGGTGTAAATCACGGCTCAAAAACGAAGTTCTATCACCGAGGTCGCTTTAACAAGGATCATTCAAAGAAAGAAAGAAAGCTTGTGGTTGTATATCAATCGACTTACTTAATTCTCAATTGAAATAGATGGGGCTCAACAAGGCCTAAAATGCTAGATTTTTTAGAATGGCCTTCTAAGCGACCATCCTTTCAGAAAAAGTTGGGGAAGAGGAATGTCAAATCCTTTCAAGAGATGTTGACCACGACCGGAACTTTTATGATTTTATAAGAAAAATGGACCACCTGTTTTGATAACCCCGCATCTAGTGAGTCGTCGCCTATCTAGAAAAGAACCTTACCAACATCGAGATGACTCTGACCAAAACGTACAAGGAAAATATGTCGAATACACCCAGTTGATGGTATCTCGTGAGAGGATCTATCAATAGCGTGTGAACATTGAATTTTGGAAGTCAGGAATCCAGCCCCCATATTCCGTCAGAGAGACATCTTGGACGAATATATCAAAATATTATCGATTCTATAAACTTCGCGGCCACAACAGTGATGATTGTATCCATTTGAAGGATGTTATCAAAGAGTGATGAAGAGAGGTCGTCTGACTGAATACTGAAGGGAGACAAGTGAGACATGAAGAATATCATAGAGGTAAATCCCCCACAAAGGCCAATATAACTGGACAAACGAAGAGAACAAGGAAGCCAAAAAGGCAAACGCCTCTATATTGCTACCATTACAGGGGGTATCCGAGATCACAGAGATGATTGTTGTCTACTGTAAAGAAGGAAATATGCCAGTAAAAATTCCTAGTCGTTCTATGGTGGGATTCTGTGACTCAAACTTAAATACCACAATCTACTGGGAGAACAACTACCATCAATGCTGATTTAGAAAGAGCAAAAAGAATATACCAAGCTCTCCAAAAAATCAGGGAGAAGACATAGCCATGAAGCTCAACGTCACCCCCTCTCCAAATAACTCAACGGGATGGGTATCAACCCTCCAAAATGTTGATAAAAAGGCCAAAAAAGAAAATAAATAAGTT